TGCTCCTTGAAAACAGATCTGTCCCAGGTCCCAGATTCGCTGTTACTGTCTCACCTTTCCAACTTTCCTGGACCACCTCCCTGCTGTGTCCCCTGCTCTCCTCACTGCTGCCCTCCATCCATCTCCTTAATCAGCTAGGGAGGCAACTTCCAAGGGCCAACTCAAGGATCTTCCTGGGGAGACTTGCCTGAGCCTTTGGGTCTGATTATGGATGCCTCTCCTTCATGTACCACTGCTGCTGATGCTCACCCGAACTGGAGCACTTAGATCCCTGCTTTCCGCCTCTCTGCCCCTGATGGCAAACTCCTGGGATTAGGCAGGTCTTTTTCTCCCCAGGGCCTTGCATCTAAGCTTTCAGCAAATGGCTCTTGAGTTAATGATTCGTTTCAAATCCGGCAGGAGGAAAGTTCAGATTACAACTATGTCCTGCAGGGTCTTCACACATAACACATTTGAAACCAGGGTCATCATTGTCCCCAACAGATACGCACCGACTTCCATTTCTCTGACCTTGATACACAGAGGCACTGGCCACCCAAGTTCAGGCTTCTCCATCTCTTCCACATGTCATCTCATCCAGTCTTGGAAATGGGTTGAGTCTAGCTTCTCCTCCCCAGGCTCACCGAGACTTCCTTAGAAGAGCCTTTCGCCCTCTCCGGTCTGAGCTATAAAGACAGCTTTCCACCTGGTCTCCCTCTTCCTGGCCTCTCCCACGCATTGCCCACGCTGCCAGTCTTCATCCCTAAAGCACAGATCTGAGCAGGTCGTGGCTGCACTCAAACCCCTTTGATGGCTCCCCTTTGACTCCCAAGAGAAAGTCCAGATCTGACCATGGCATCTGAGGCTCACTCTGAGCTGACCCAAGTCCCTCTCCTGAGCTGTCTTCTGCCCAGATGGCCTCTAGGCACACGCTGTTCTCTCTGCTTGCAGTGGTCTCTTCCTCTTCTTCTTTTTTAACTGGGGGGTGGTGAGGAGGGGAATGCCCTCCTCTAAACCCAGCAAAAGCATCACCTCCTCTGTGAAGCCTTCCCAGATGTCTACTGCGCAGAGTTATCTCTCCCATGTCCGTGATTCTAGGACACACTCTTTTGACTTTGCTGTCCACACTGCAGGGCGGACTTCACACGTTTTCCTTCCCCTACACTGGTCTCTTTGCGGCCAGAAGCCATATTATCTACCTTGATAAGATGGCACCGAACAGACTGCAGCAAAGCTGTTCACAGCCCTGGCCTTGGAATCAAAATATTTGGGTTGGAATCCTGGCTCATTCTCTGTATGACTTGGGAAGTTATTAGGGTCGTTCGCTCATCGGTTAAATGAAGATAGGAGAGTGAACCCCTCAGAGGAGACATTGAATGAAATAAGTGTTTGGAACAATGTTATTGTCCCATGAATATTAGTTACTATTATTATTATTATTATCTGACTCCTAGTACTTAGGACAGTGCCTTGTACACAGTAGGCAGCAGTCAGTAATCTTGTACTGACTTCTTGAGTAGAATGGAAGAACCAGGGTCCAAGTCTACCTTTCGTTCAAGAACAGTACAGCTGTTTCACTATTGTATATCACCTGATGTGCAGAGCATTACAGAATTTCAAGCGAGGAAATCAAGGCTCGAGCCACTCATCAACTCCCTCAAACCCGGGTCAGCTAGCACTCCTTCCAAATCGGTGCTGTTGCGCCCACGTGACTGGAAGCCACGGCCCCAAACTCTGGCCCATCCTTCACCCTCTGCTGCCCCCCTGTGTCCATATCAGGCAAGGCAAACTTTTTCCTTGGTTTTGCTTGACTTTTGTCCTATTTTGTTTGCCTCCTTCCTTTGGAATGATATCCAAGAGATATAACTTATAGCTCTCTTTACTAACGCATTTTATTGAATATGTGAACGTTTAATATAAATGAGAATAATTAGCATAACTGTTAAGACAACCAGTGGGTATAGGGTTTAAAACAAGATTTTCTTTAGTCAATAGGGCTAAATTAACTTTAGAAACTGAAGCTCTTAGGTAAAGAGAGAAAGGTGTTCAGGGCATATTAAGGGCTGATCTCAAGGTAATTCCCTTTCACTGAAACTTTTAAATTGGTCCAGCTCTTCAAATTGCTTTAGGGAAGAAAAGAAAGATTTGAAATTTAAATAACGGAGAAGAGATCCCAAGGGTGAGGGATGTAATGCTGTTAGCTGCTAGATGGAGCTAACAGTTTGAATCTCCATCCTTTAGAAAAGATACCTCTTGACTTACGGTGTTGGTGATTCCCAAACTTTGGTCACCAACCTAGACAAGGATTTGATTTAAACTTCGAGAAAAGTGATAATGCGTGGATTAATCCCTTATTTGGATTCTAATTTGGGCCCCCACTTAAGAGAGAGTTCTGTGCTGGAGAGTATCATTGTCTTAACTTACTCCATCCTGCTGGTCCCAAGGGGCGGTCTCACAGACAATCAAGATTTAGATAGCAGGCTCTGCATCTAGTCCCACATCCGCTACTGATTAGCTGAGCGATCTTCAGCACATTACCGGATTTCTCACAGACTCACTTTTTCCTGTAACCTGTGAATAAGAAATAGGATTGGCTTCAAAGGACTTTTGTGATGACAGAATGAGAAAATTTATGGAAAATATTCAGCACAGTGCTCCACAGATTATAATCCACAAATTATAGCTATGTATGTGTGATAGGCACTATTCCAGGTGCTTCACATATATCCATTTCTGTAATCCTCACCATATTCCTGTGAGGTAACTTATGTTATTTGATATCACCATATTGCAGATGTAGCAACCAAAGGCTAGAAGGTTTAAGGAAATTGTCCAAATTCAAAGATTTAGCCGGGGGCTCTATTAGTGAGCTATTGCTGCATCACAAACCATTCCAAAACTCTGGCTTGAAATAATAAGCACTTATTATTGCTCATGAGTCTGTGGGTCAGCTAGGCACTTCTGCTTCTCTGGGCCGGGCTCAGCCAATCTCAACTGGCTTGTTCTTGTGTCTGTGATCCACTGGTGGGCTGGTGAGAGCTGGCTGGTCTAGGTTGGCCTGACTCATATATCTAAGGATTGGCTGGTTGTTGGCTTGGGCAATGGTGGTGTCTGGGCCACGTGTCTCTCTTATCACCCATCAGGCTAGTCCAGGCATCTTCATATGGTGGCAGGGTCCCCAGCCCAGAGTCAAAGAAGGGAGTAATCAGAGTACTTAAAGAGGAAAAAGTATGAAGTTAAATTGTAAAGGGCACGGGTATAGGGAAGGTTGAAAAAAAATGTGGCTACTTTTTGTAATTATTCTATCACACAAAGTGGGAGAGTCTAGATTTGAAGTGAGGTAATCTGGTACCAGAGTCCTTGCTCTGAAGCATTCTGAGACTTAATGCCTTGACATCTGCTAGCAAGAGTCTTGCCATTTCCTGCTCCTGCCTGTGGGCATGGAGTGCCCTGGCAAGAGCCTTCATTCACTGGCAAGTGCTAGGGAGTTTCCAGCCATACCAGCTGTTTGGCCTTGCCCACATTTCTTGCCACTCCTTTGTTTATTCCTTTGGAATTATGCTTTATGATCACTTGGGTCCTGAGCATTTTTGTTTGTTTTGTTCGCAAATTTTAATTTCCTATTTTAGCCACATCTCTACTTCTTCATCTTTTTATTTTATTCTTAACGAGTGACAGAGTAGCTAAGATGAATGTTTACTACAGTCAAAGGAAAGCGGGAAAATCTGGATTTAATCAGCAAAATTGTGATGAAGCTGTGAGAACATCAGTAATATATCTGATTCAGTTTGACCCCACTGTCTTCTTGCCAAGATTGAAGAAGAGGAACTTCTGGTAAGTCCGATGCAAAGAAGGTCCAAAGAAGGGAAGGGTGAGACACGGTGTCCCGATATCTAACATGCTGTGTGTGGAAACAGGAAGCCAAAGGGATGGAGGGAGACATCCTTATATTTAGCCTTGGCCTTGGCCTAGGCTTCTCTCTGCATGTCCTCCCCCTTGGTTTCCCATCCGCTCCTGAGTCGGCTTGCCTATGCTCTTGGTGGTGGCTCCTTCTTCAGAGTCTGGAGCTCTGGACTCAGCCTTGTGCCTGGGGTCTCTGTGGGCAGACTGAAGTCTCCTCCTACCAGAACAGTTGTCACACTCTACATGTCTCTTGGGCCACCCCTCCTTGATTCTCCTGGTTCAAGATGGGCAGGAGTTGGTCTCCCCAGCAAGACTGGCTATTTCTTGAGGACAGGAGTATTTCCCACTGCAGCGTTGAGTACACGGTATGCATCTCAGTGCTAGGAAAGTGGCAAGAACAGAACTTCTAGAGCAGAAAGGAATCTTAAAAACCACGTTACAGGGCGCCTGGGTGGCTCAGTTGGTTAAGCGACTGCCTTGGGCTCAGGTCATGATCCTGGAGTCCCGGGATCGAGTCCCACGTCAGGCTCCCTGCTCAGCGGCGAGTCTGCTTCTCCCTCTGACCTTCTTCCCTCTCGTGCTGTCTATCTCTCATTCTCTCTCTCTCTCTCAAATAAATAAATAAAATCTTTAAAAAAAAAAAAAAAAACACGTTACACCAGAGAACTGAGACTCCACATAGTTAAACCATCCACCCACCTGAGTTCACTCCCCTAAAGGGCCCCAGCACTGGCTGCAGGGCCAGTGCCCTTCTGGGGAGGGGGGACTCAGGGCCTCTGGGCAGTGAGTGAGTTGAGTGTGCCCAAATGAGTGAGGGAGCTTGGGCTCTGGGTTTATTTAGCTTCTCTGAGCCTCAGATTCATCATCATCAGGGTTGTCAGGGGTTAACTGGGGTCATGTCACTTGTGAAGCAATGGGCAGCGCGCCCCGCACCCAGTCGGTGCTCAATAAATGTTTCTTTACCACTTATTTCCCTCAATAGGGGATTTGGAATAACGTGGTAAAGATGAAGCGGGCTCGGCTCGGTGTGGGCCATCAGATGGGCCCCCTGCAGTCAGAGCGGAGGCCTCGCTGTCCGACCGAGGGTTAGATGCGCTGTGGGCTCCGGGGCGTGCGGCTTTAGCTTCCGGCCTTTGTCCTCACTCCTTGTCTCTCTCCGCCCCACCCCGCGGACTCAGTGATCACAGAGAGGAAGTGCTTTGCTGCTCGCCCCGCGATCTGACGATTGAACGCTCTCCAAGGAAGAGCCGAGGCGCGTCTGAGTTTAGAAGGTAAGAGGGGCTGGAGAGCTGCGGTAGCTTGAGAAATTGTTCCATTTGAGGGATTCCTTGGGCTCCGGGCTCTGGAGACGGAAGGGGGTGAGTGAGTCCTGATCGCCCCCCCACAACCCCGGAATTCCAGGGTTTGCCCGCAGTCAGTCCAATCCACGCGGTACCTAATCAAGCCGTCTCTCTCTGTCCAGCACCAATGGCGAGAGCGAGAAAACGAAACCGAAATCAGGCTTGTACCTGACAGCGCTCTGGTGGTCTCTTCACTCAGCTATTTCACTTGGGGGTTTCTTCGACTTCCCTTCTCTGCTGCTTTCTTTAGACCAGCCTGTCTCACACCTGTTGTAGCAGGAACTTTGAGCACAAACATGTGTCTCAAAATTTTCATTGCCAGGTGATCGTGCTTTCGTAGCACAATCGATTTAGATCTCTGAGGGTGGGGGCTTGAAGAGTGTCCCGGTGGCCAGGTTGCTGAAAAACGGGTGCTTCGCGGGGTCTGTAGCAGGTGCAGTTTTACAAATCTGCAAGGACCAGTTCGGTGCTGGCTGAACTGCGGCTCTGTTGCCCTCATCTGACGGAGGGCAGTTGGACTGACTCAACACCACCAGCTCCCCCATTTGTGTATGGCGAGAGTAGGAATCGCTGAATTTTGTTTTCCTGAAGGGACATTATTAAGTCTATCAGTGAATGCCTAATATTTGCCATACTTTATATGCATGAGGGGACGGAAAATTGAGAATAACCTAATGTTACACAATTAGGAAGTAACAGTCTGAAGTTAAATGATCAGGGGTTCAAACTTAAATCTTGTGAGGTTGGAGTCTGAGCTCTTTCCACTTCTCTCTGCTACTTTGAATAGAAGCACACATGCATAAAGAAGACATGCCCAGAGCCAGTAAATGCACTGAGAGGTGTAAGAAATGCAGATTGACACAAAACACATTTTTTTTCCCTATTAATGAAGGTTCTTTTTCTTTTAAGAGATCATCTATTTCTAGTGAGGGTATGTTAATATGACACTGGAAGAAATTTATTAAGATAGATTGAGAATTTTTTATTTTTTATTTTTTTAGATTTTATTTATTTATTCATGAGAGACACACACACAGAGAGAGAGAGAGAGGCAGAGGGAGAAGCAGGCTCCCAAGGAGCAGGGAGCCCGATGCGGGACTCGATCCCAGGACTCTGGGATCATGACCTGAGCCAAAGGCAGACGCTTAACCATCTGAGCCACCCAGGCGCCCAGGTTGAGAATTTTTTAAAACAATGATAATCCTTTTGTTACCGGACAGAGAACCGGTTCCAAACTCAGGTTTGCCTGCTGGCTGCTCACAAATCAGTACTAGAGAAGCAGGTAATGGTGGGAAAGGAAAGGCTGCTTTATTCAGGAAGCTGGCAACCTGGGAAGATGGCAGACTAATGTCTCAAAGACCATCTTCGTCATCCTACGGGAAGCTGGAGGGCTTTAGGGGAAAAGGCATGGGAAAGAGGGTGGGGGTGGGAGCTGCGTGCAGGAGTGGCAGGTGTGCAGGCAGTCAGTCGTATGTCAGTATGAGCCTAAACAGGTAGGCTAGCATCTCTAGCAGCTGTTCCTGAATGGAATTAGGCCTTCTCTTCTGGGAAAGTCTGGTCCTTCATTCCTCAAGGCCAGTGGTCTTCAAATCTCAAGGAAAGTAAGTTAGTTCTGCTACAGGTCAAGGGACTGAGGTCAGCAAGCAAGGAGTGGATAAGCTTGAAGCCAATTAACACTTAAGACCTGTTGGCATGCTGTTACACTTTGACCAGTCATTCAATTCTTGGAAATCTATCATAAGAAATCTATTATAAGATGTATCATAAGAAAACACGCTTTAAAAAGCTAAATTAACTGCAACATTATTTAGAATGGTTAGAAAATTCCAATTTTAAAAATCTTGCTTAAAAGTTGTTTTTAAAAACTGTTTAGTAATAAGGAAATGAAGCAAGTGACTGGTGGCCTATTGCAGAGCCATTAAAAATGTTTTAAAAGACTTTGTGGTAACATAGGAAATTATACAATGGCATTAGATGAAAGAAAGCAGGATATTTATACAGTATCCTCACATAGCATGATCTCAGCTATTTTTTAAAAAAAATTTATAGAAATATACTAAAATAGGGGCACCTGGGTGGTTCAGTTGGTTGGGCATCTGACTCTTGATATCAGTTCAGGTCATGATCTCAGGGTTGTGAGATTGAGCCCTGTGGCGGGCTCCCTGCATAGTGCGGAGTCTGCTTGAGATTCCCTCTCCCTCTGCCCCTCCCCTGGCTTGCACTGTCTCCCTCTCTAAATAAATAAATAAAAAGTTTAAAAAAAAGAAATATACTAAAATCTTTTTTTTAAAGATTTTATTTATTTATTTGTCAGAGAGAGTGAGCACAAGCAGGGGGAACCGCAGGCAGAGGGGGAAGCAGGCTCCCCATTGAGCAAGGAGCCTAATGCGGGACTTGATCCCAGGACCCTGGGATTATGACCTGAGCCTGAGGCAGACGCTTAACCAACTGAGCCACCCAGGAGTCCCCTAAAATCTTAACAATGCCTATTTCTGGGTGGTGGGACTGCAGTGTAAAAATTTTCTTGTTTTTAATTTATATATGTTCATAATATTCTATAGTAAAAAGTTCTATATAAATAAGTAGATGTATTTTGAAAAAGTTGCTAGTAAAATTAATTTTTTCTAATTCAAATGCTTTCTCACTATTATAAAATTACAAAATAGCTCATCTCCAGGTGGAATGTTAGAAGACTCCAAGAGTATTTCCTTCCTCATATTGCTGGTCTACAGCCAGATAATCTCTGTTTAACCTGATAGTTCAAAGAGCTCCGTGTCTCTTTGATCAAGTCCCAAGGAGATAAGTTTGCATTTTCTCAAAGGCACAGAGTTGTAGCCAGTGGTAATTACCATCATGGAGACCAAGAGCCATAACAGCCTTCAGGAGAGACCCACACCCTCCAGCAATGAGGAGACATCAGTGGATGGCAATAAGTTAATCAAAGCTGTTAAAGAAGAAGACATCAAGCTGGTCCAACAATTCCTGGAAAGAGGGGCTGATGTTAACTTCCAGGATGAGTGGGGCTGGTCACCTTTGCATAATGCAGTACAAAGTTGCCAGGAGGACATGGTGGATCTTCTGCTTCGTCATGGGGCTGACCCTTGTCTGAAGAAGAAGAATGAGGCCACTCCATTCATCATTGCTGGGATTGTGGGAAATGTGAAGCTGCTCAAACTTTTCCTTTCTAAAGGTGCGGATGTCAATGAGTTTGATGCTAATGGCTTCACAGCTTTCATGGAAGCCGCTGTGAATGGGAAGGATAAAGCCTTAAAATTCCTGTATGAGAATGGGGCAAATGTGAATTTGAGCCGAAAGACAAAGGAGGATCAAAAGAGGCTTAGGAAAGGAGGGGCCACAGCTCTAATGGATGCTGCTGAAAATGGACATGTAGATGTCTTGAAGATCCTCCTTGATGAGATGGGAGCAGATGTCAAAGCCTGTGACAATATGGGCAGAAATGCTTTGATCTATGCATTTAGGAATTCTGATGTTAGAAATGTGGAGGGCATCACTAGCCTTCTGCTGCAGCATGGCGCTGATGTCAATGTGAGGGGAGAGAAAGGGAAGACACCCCTGATCCTGGCAGTGGAAAAGGAGCACTTGGGTTTGGTGCAGATGCTTCTGGAACAAGAACATATAGAGATTAATGAGACAGACAGTGAGGGCAAAACAGCACTTCTGTTGGCCGTCCAACTCAGACTGAAGGAAATTGCTCAACTGTTATGCAACAAAGGAGCCACCACGAACTGTGGGGATCTTGTGATGATAGCGAGGCGCAACTATGACAGTTCCCTTGTAAGGCTTCTTCTCTCTCATGGGGCCAGAGAAGATTGTCCCCCTCCCACTGAAGACTGGAAGCCTCAGAACTCACGCTGGGGGAAGGCCTTGGAACACCTCCACAGAATATACCGCCCTATGATTGGCAAACTCAAGATCTTTATTGATGAAGAATATAAGATTGCTGACACCTCTGAAGGGGGCATCTACCTTGGGTTCTATGAAGGGCAAGAAGTAGCTGTGAAACGATTCTGTGAAGGCAGCACACATGGACGACAGGAAGTCTCCTGTCTGCAGAGCTGCCGAGCAAACAGTGACTTGGTGACATTCTACGGGACTGAGAGCTACAAGGACTGTCTGTATGTGTGTCTTGCCCTCTGTGAGCAGACCCTGGAGGAACACTTGGCCAAGCACAGTGGGCAGGCTGTGGAAAACAAGGAAGATGAGTTTGCCCGAAACACCCTCTTATCTGTATTTAAGGCTCTTGAAGAATTACATCTGCGGTCTGGATACACTCACCAGGATCTGTGCCCACAAAACATCTTAATAGGTGAGTCTCCAGTCTTCTCTTAGAAATTGCGGGGTCTTTATTTACAAAAAGAAAGGATTTTCATTACAGGGAGGAAAGGAGTAGAGTAAGTGTGGATTATTCAGTTTGAGGATTAATGCAACAGATTCATAATTAGAGTGCTATCTCTCCTGCTACCAGGTATAACCCTTACCCCATGTGGAGGTGACAGATGCCAATGGAATACCAGGCTAACGTCATATTTCCTTTGGCAAATACAAATATGAAGGTTATGTCTTAGATGGAGTCAGCTCCAGAAATTTGAATTCCTAAAGTAGCCTGCCAGTCAGAGAATCCTGAAGGTGTGTTCCTGCAGCCAAGATGGTAGCCACTGTGAAATTTTTTTAGGTGATTTTATTTATTTATTTGTCAGAGAGAGAGAGTAAGGGCATCCAGGCAGGGGAAGCGGCAGGCAGAGCAGGCAAAGGGAGAAGCAGGGTCCCCTTCAAGCAAGGAGCCTGGTGCGGGACTCGATCCGGACCCTGGGATCATGACCTGAGCCAAAGGCCGAGGCTTAAGTGACTGAGCCACCCAGGCGTCCCTCCACTGTGAAATTTAATGGCAAAACCGAGGTCAAAACTGGGCATGCCAGGATAAGATGCAACAAGTGAAACAGACTCCAAGTGGGCAGAACGAGTCAGCACCCACTGGCCTCAGCCAAAAACAAAATGAAGGAAAGAAACATTAAAGGAAAGAAGCAGAGCTGAGTGTAAAGTCCCAGGAGGTGATGTGGTGCAGTAGGAAGAGTCTTGGCTTTAGCCATGTGTAGGGAGACTTGCGGCCTAGTCATGCCACTTTGTAGGTTTGCAGCCTCAAACAAGTCACTTAGCTCTGTGAGCCTTAGTTTCCTCATTTAAGATGAATAACACCTCTTTCATAAGGTTGTTATGAGGTTTAAGTGCAGTGTGTTAGACAAGTTACCTGTATGTTGTAGGTACTCAGCAAAGGCCAGGTCCTTGTCTAGAGGGCTAAGCAGAAACAGATACCTAATCTACAGACATGTACTGAGATTTAAGGTAGGTGTAAGGGAACAAGACAAAAAGAGGGTTCAGGTATTGAAAGGCAGAGAACAGTATTTAAGGTCCTGGACAAGACCTGGAAGGAAGTAGGTAGACATCAGAATACAACTGGAATCTGGCTTTTAATTTGAGGACAGGTGCTAGTGGCACTCCTTCCTGGTTTTAAGCAACTTTGTTGGGGAGCCTGACAAAGGCCAGAAATATGTGCAGCTCTACAAAGTGAAGCAGAGTTCTCAAGATGCAGCCAAGGGCAGGGTCCTTCCCAGTTCTAACTGCTGATCTTGATGCAAAAGAGTCACATGTCACATTATAAAGAAAAATTACTTGTCACTACCTCTTCTTCAGAATTTCTGGCACCATCTCTTCTATTCTTAAGCTTGAACAATAGAGAATTGAGAATTGACTCTATTTCTGCCCCCAGATGGTGAACCTAACACATACTACAGACTATTCTTTGTATTAGATCCCTAAAATGATAGGAAAATATTGTTAAATGAATTCTTAGCTGGGATCAAAATAGCAAAAGAAGTTTTACAGGACAAAATCTTTGAGGAATCATAAAGAGACTGAACATGATAGGATGGGATTAAAGAAAGACATGGGAGCCCAGGACAAATGCAGGATGCCACAGCTAAATATTACTCATAAAAGTAGGAACAGTGCAAAGAAACTCCACTCAGGAGTAATGGCAGCCAGAAGCAAGAGAGGACAAAAGATCAGCTAACAGGTAGATTGCTGCATCAGTAGAAAATAGGAAGATCACACCCTGTGCATTCCCCACAGACCAAGCATCTGTGCCAGGCCTGTCTCTGCAGACAGGGCTACTACTTGAGACACTGGGTGGTTGATGATCTCAAGAGAAACAAAGAGCAGTTAAATCCACAAGATTTCTGCCAAAGCACCCTACTAAGTGGCACATCCTGCTTACCCCCTAGTTTCACTGAATAAAACGCAAAGCAGAAGTTCTGACAACTGCCTCCATCTCTCCCCCATGTTGGGTGGCATTAACAGAAGCAACTCAAAGGGATCAGGGATTCTCAACTGCAAAGTAAGGCTTACAGTCAAAAATCACTGAAGATATTTATGAAGTGCTGATACCCTGAAAAAGATGCATGAAATAGAAGAACTTAGACCCAAAGAAACAAAGCTAACTGAGTGTATTAGTTTCCTATGGCTGCTGGAACAAATTATCACAAACTTGGTGGCTTAAAACAGTAGAAATTTATTCTCCCATAGTTCTGGAGGCAAAAAGTATGAAACCAGTTCCACTGGCCCCAAATGACGTGTCAGCAGGGCCAAATTCCCTTTGTAGGCTGGGGTGGGGGGAGACCCTTGCCTCTTCCCCATTCTGGTGGGCAGCTAGTATTCCTTGGCTTGTGGCATCACTCCAATCTCTGCCTCTGTAGTCATTGCCTTCTCTTCTGCTGTCAGATCTCCCTTTGCCTGCCTTGCACAAGGGTATGTGTGATTGCATTTAGGACTCACCCTGCTAACCCAGGACAATCTCTACTATTTCAAGATATTCTCTCTCTTTTTTTAGAGAGGGAGAGAGAGTGTGAGCAGGGAGGGGCAGAGGGAGAAGAGAGAGAATCTTAAGTAGTCTCCACACTCACCACAGAACCTGACATGGGGCTTGGTCTCACTACCTTGAGGTCATGACCTGAGCCTAAATCAAGAGTCGGACGCTTAACTGACGAAGCCACCCAGGTGCCCACTGTTTCAAAATTCTTAATCACATCTGCAAAGCCCTTTTGTGTGAGTCTGTAACTATATAAAGTAATGTTTGCAGATTCCAGGGATTAGGGCATGGGCATCTACTTAGTTTGCCATCCTGAGTAACCACAGTACTTTAAAGTAAGTATAATTAATAAAACCAGAGAACCAAGATAGGTTATTTCATCCAAGAAGCAACGATAAGCATTGTGAAGAGAACGAATAGAGAATTTGGGAATTTAAAATATAATTGTTTAAAAATTTAAAACTCGAGACTGGATTGAAGATTAAATTAGCGAGCTAGAAGACATGCCCAAGAAATTTTCCTAGGAAATAATAGAAAAGCATAAAGGAGTGGATAGGGAAAAAGGTTTAGAAGTCAGGATTTAGGTCTGAAGTTCTAGTAGGCATTTCAGAGGGAAGAAGAAATGAGGTTGAAGCAATATTTGAAAAAAAAAAAAAGTGAGAATGTCCCAGAAATAAAGATAGATATATTTCTCTTACTGAAAAACTCACCAAGAGCTGAGGGTAAGTAAGGAAAAAAACCCATTGAGTCACATCTTAAAGGAATATCAAAACATCAAGGGAGAGAGGAAAATCTCAAAAGCTCCCAAGAGAAAACAAATTACCTACATAGAAACCAGAATCAGATTGCTAAGAGACTTCTCTCCTCAGTAACCTGAATACAAAAAAAAGGAACTGAGGAGAAAGAACCTACTAACAACTGAATCTTAGTATTCCCCCAGAATTCATATGTTGAAACTCTGCAGATATTCTTTCAAGATAGTGTTTTTATTTCCTTCAGATACACTTCTGTTTTATCTATTTTTAATTTTTTGAGAAACCTTCATGCTGTTTTCCATTGTAGCTGCACCAATTTACATCCCCACCAAAAATACACAGGGTTCCCGTTTGTCCACATCTTCACCAACTCTTGTTATCTCCTGTTTTTTTGATAATTATTCTAACATGTGTGAGATGATATCACACTGTAGTTTTGATTTGCATTTCCCTGAAAATTACTGATATTGAGCACTTTTTCATGTACCTGTTGGCTCTTTTAATGTCTTTGGAAAAATGTCTATTCAGGTCCTTTGCCCATTTTTTAATCAGAGCATTTGATTTTTGCTATTGAGTTGAATGAATTTCATATATATAAATATATATTTCATGTACATAAATATATTTTCATATATAAATTTCACATATATATTTCATATGCATGGAAATTTCATATATATAAATATATATTAATATGTATATTTACTCCATATCAGATACCCGATTCGTAAATATTTTCATTTCTATACATTGCCTTTTCATTTTGTTGATGGTTTCTTTTGCTGTGCAAAAGCTTTTAGTCTGATGTAGTCTCACTTGTTTATTTTTGCTTTTGCTGCTGTGCTTTTGGTGTCATATCTAAAATATCATTGCTAAGACCAATATCAAGGTGCTTTTTCCCTATGTTTTCTTCTAGGAGTTTTATGGTTTCAGGTTTTACATTTAGGTCTTTAAGCTATTTCAAATTAGTTTTTGTGAGTGGCATAAGATAGGGGTCTACTTTCGTTCTTTTGCATGTAATTATCCAGTTTTTCCAACATCATTTTTTGAAGAGATTATCTTTTCCCCATTGAGCATTCTTGGCTCCCTTGTCAAATATTAGTTGACTGCCTATGTGTGGGTTTATTTTTGGGCTCTTGATTCTGTTTCATTCATCTATGTGCCTGGTTTTATACCAGTCCTGTACTATTTTGATTACTAGGTCTTTGTAATATAGTTTAAAACCAGGAAGTGTGATGCCTCCAGCTTTATTCTTTCTCAAAATTGCTTTGGATGGATCAGTGCCCTTATAAAAAGAGCTAGCTAGTTGTCTTTCTACCATACGAGGATACAGCAAGGAAGATGGCTGTCTATACACCAGTATGCGGGCCCTTACCATGAACGCAATGCTGCTGACACCCTGAGCTCAGATTTCCAATGTTCAGAGCTGTGTGAAATAAATCAATTTCTGTTGTTTAAGCTACACCCATCTACTGTAATTTGTTATAGCATCCAGAATTGACTAAGACAACCATCAAATTATACATGATTCAAAATAAATACATATTTTTGATTGAAGTATTATTAACATATGGTGTTATATTAGTTTCAGGTATACAATATAATGATTCAGCAATTCTAGACATTACTCAGTGCTCATCATGAAAAGTGTACTTTAATCCCCTTTATTCCCCCCATCCCCCTACCCACCTCCCCTCTGGAAACCACCCGTTTGTCCTCTGTATTTAAGAGTGTTTTTTTGTTTGTCCTTTTCTCTCCCTTTGTTTGTGAAATCATATGGTGTTTGGCTTTCTCTAACTGACTGACTTCACTTAGCATTATACTCTCTAGGACCATCCATATTGTCACAAATGGCAAGATCTCATTTTTTTGATGGCCGAGTAATATTCCATTATATATGTGTGTGTATATATGCCACATCTTTTTTACCCACTCAGCTATTGATGGACACTTGAGATGCTTCCATATCTTGGTTATTGTAAATAATGCTGCAGCACATAAGTGTGCATATAACTTTTCAAATTAGTGGTTTTGTTTTCTTTGGGTAAATACCCAGTGGTGGAATTACTGGATATATGGTATTTCTATTTTTAACTTTTTAGGGAACCTCCATACTGTTGTCCACAGTGGTTGCACCAATTTACATTCCCACCAACAGTGTGCCTAACGGTTTCTTTCTCTCCACATTATTGCCAACACTTATTATTTATTGTCTTTTTGATTCTAGCCATTCTGACAAGGGTAAGGTGATATCTCTTCATGGTTTTGATTTGCATTTCCCTGATGATGAATGATGTTGAGAATCTTTTCATGTGTCTGTTGGCCCTTTGTATGTCTTCTTTGGAAAAAAATGTCTATTCAGGACCTCTGCCCATTTTTAATTGAATTGTTTGTGTTTTTTTGGTGTTGAGTTGCATATGTTCTTTATACATTTTTGATATTAACCCGTTATCGGATATATCATTTGCAGATATCTTCTCCCATTCAGTAGCCTCCCTTGTCGTTTTGCTGATAGTTTCCTTTGCTGTGCAGAAGCTTTTTATTTTGGTGTAGTCCCAGTGGTTTAGTTTTGCTTTGGTTTTTCTTGCCTGAGGAGACATATCTGGAAAAATGTTCCTATGGCCGATGTCAAAGAAATTACTGTCTGGTTTTTTTTCTAGGGGTTTAATGGTTTCACGTCTCACATTTAAGTCTGTAATCCATTTTGAGTTTATTTTTGTGTATGGTATAAGAAGGGGTCCATTTTCATTCTTTTGCATGTAGCTGTCCAGTTTTTCTAAGCACCAGTTGTTGAAATACATTTTTTAAACGTTTAAGGATCCAGGAAGACTTCCTACCCACAGACCATATATGAAAGAACTGCTAGAGGATATGCATAAGGAAGGAGAGAAAGAGCCTGGTAGAAAATAGTGACTTACAAGCAGCAAAGAATAAACAAAAAAAATTAATTGTTTAAGTAACCTAAATATGTGTTATTTTTAATGAAAAATTATTTATTTATTTAATTAAAATCTTTAATTAAAAAATATCATCTTAGATGATATTGCAGTGCTGGGAGTGAGGATGAAGAGACTCTTGATTCACTGACAGCAGGGTGGAGTGCGCAAATTTTATCCTAACTCTGCCCATCCGCTGTTAGCAGTCTGTGATTCTATAAGTGCAGAAACTAAGTGTAAGAGTTTAAAATTTTTATAGCACTTTAGCAATGTTGATTGCATCTAAAAATAAATAAAAAACCCTGGGGCTCATTAAAAAAAAAATCAAGTGTTAGAAGAGATGTGAAGTGTTCCCTTAGGCACTTGCAAATTTAAGTAGCAGAGAACTCAAAGTGGCTTAAACAGTGAAGGGGATTTATTAGTTGGAATAGCTGAAAGCAGTCTCTGGTTTCCAATCTGCACCCTCTGCCCCTTCAACCTCATTGCAGGCTACTTTCCAACTTCATTCCTTCTTTCCAGGCTGTCAGGCCTCCTTTCTGTCAGAGTGGAATTCCTCAGGTTCCTTTCTGCCTTGGGAATTCCTATCTGGATTTCTCTCTTCCCTGTTCCATTCTCCCATGTGAATTCTACTGATCTCTGTTCTCAGTGTCCTTTCTTAAAGGAAGACTTTTCTCCCCCACACAGCCATGTGGCTCTTGTTATACACTTTCAGAGCATCCTGCACTTTGGGCTAGCATTTTTAAATCTTTTTTTTTTTTTAAGATTTATTTATTTATTCATGAGAGACAGAGAGAGAGAGAGAAGCAGAGGGAGAAGCAGGCTCCCAAGGAGCAGGGAGCCCGATGCGGGACTCGATCCCAGGACCCTGGGATCATGACCTGAGCTGAAGGCAGACGCTTAACCATCTGAGCCACCCAGGCGCCCTGGGCTAGCATTTTTAAAGTTGCAATTAGGGTCACCTGGGTGGCTCAACCGGTTAAGCATCTGCCTTCAGCTCAGGTCATGATCCCAGGGTGCTGGGATCGAGCCCCGCATGGGGCTCTATGCTCTGCGCAGGGTCTGCTTGTCTCTTTCTGTCCCTCTCCCTACTTGCTCTCTCTTTTTCTAAAATAAATAAATAAGTCTTAAAAAAAAATAAAGTTGTAATTAATTTTACATTCACTCATTGCTCAGAGACTCAAAACTCCACAGGGCCTGTGCTGTGTTCTCCTCTTTCACTGTCATTTTCCCCCTCACTAGACCCTTGTTGAATAGTTTAATGGGTTCATTTTTGTTAGACTGTGGGTTTACACCCAACTTTGCTATCTAAGTTCAGAACCAAAGGGGTTTGAGAAGCACACAGTTGTGCTGACCATCCTGCTGCCTGGAGTTACTCGGTTGGCTTTCTTAGACGCCTTCAAGCCAGAAGCAGGAGCTACTTCTTCAAGGACAGGTCACTGACTGGCTCTTCTTTCATCTTGTTCCTGACCTCACCCATCCGTGCATCCTTCTTCCTGAGGACTCAGTGGCTTCCTTCAAGGGAGAAAGATCCTGAAGAGGGCAAGGAGGTAGTGGCTCATTTCAAGCACATAGTTAATCCATGATAACTGATTACAGTGTCACAGGGGGCTGTGGTTGGTGGGCTTGATTGAGTGGCGCACTGTGGTAAGCTGCTCTTGGATTTGGAGTCTCATTGGTTAGTTGTTAATTAGCCTTGGGAAGTCAACGTATCTCCTGCCAACAGTCCCTTTATAAATCTGTGCTCATTGCCCCCAGGAATTGCCTGAATGGGGAACTGGTCAACTTTATCCTCATCCTTCCCCATGCCCAGGCCTGGAGAAAATGAAATTTAAATCCTGCCCTTGGCAGATACCTAATAAGTCAAATGACACTGTGCACATGGCTCTTTTGAAGAGTAAATAGCCATGCAGATATAAGCTTTATTATTGCCTTCTTCAGAGATGATAATGCATTGTGGTACATAATTATTTAAGTTAATTACAACATGAAGAGAGAGGATTTTCACTGTATCTCTACAAACTATCCCTTAGATTCCAAGAATGCTGTTTGCCTGGCAGATTTTGATAAAAGCATCAAGTGGACTGGAGAGCCGCAGGAAATCAAGAGAGATCTACAGGTAAATTCTACAATTGGTTTACTTTTCCATCTTTCTGCTTCCTTATTTGTTTCGTTCATTCCCTTATTTCCTATGGCCAGTTAGACGTCATTTCTGTTTTACCTCTTCTAACTTCCAAGGCATTCCCCCAGGGCTTACTGTCTTCACTCCCTTGCAGACAGTGGCATTTCTCTGGGCTGCTGTGGCCCCTTTCTGTATTTCTTTGGCTCTCTCTCTTCCTCCACCAGCTAGATAGGAAATGAATTGAGCATGACATACCTCTTCTAAAATTACCTCCAGGAGGTATGTCCAAATGGCCTCCCAAATTCCTGCATGAGGTATTTCCTGCCTGCAGACAAAGCAGATGGGATTTCTTTTCCCATTTTGTTCAAACTTGTATGCTAAACTCCTAGGAGGGCCAGATACGAAGGCCCTCCGAAACCCATGGGAGGGATGGGATTGGTCCTCAGCTTGAAAGAAACTAATCTTGGCCACAGAGGTTACGAGCTTGAAATAGCTTTTTCTCCTGGAAGGAGACAGCAGAAACAGAGCCTGACCCCTGCAGACCAAAGCTCCCAGGTTGACTCTGACCCTGTCTGGGCAGTTTCCTCCTGGGAGGTTCTCCAGGATGCAGAACGTTCAACCCCGGGGCAAGAGCTCTCCAGCCACATCTGGCCTTTGCTGCTAAAAGGATTTTAGCTCCTTCCGTGATTGGTGTCTTGCCTGCTGTAGGAAGTGCGTATATTGGCCTCCTGCTTGACCTTTCTTCCCTGTCATGGCCTAACTCCTGGAGCTGTCACCGTGTCCCACTGGACCTGGACTGGCTCCTTTATCTGCCATCTCACATAGTCCCAACCCAAAGTCTCAGTTTCCAGCCAGAGTCCTGGCATTTCCCTTGTTGAAAACAGTTTTCCTCTCCCCTGTTTTTTGACATTCGATCCATACTTTAAGGTTCAGCTCAAATTCCTCTTCCTCTAAGCAGTTTGCCCTGACAATTCTGGCTTAGGATTATCTTTTGCTCCTCATAAACCTAAATTGTGGGGACCATATATTGTCTTGAAGGGTTCTACATGTAGAACCTGTAGACTCCTTGAGATTTCTCCCACTTTCCATTTGGTCATAACCTGCACCACACCTCCATACAGAGTGAGAATTCATAGACAACTTTGGCTTGATTTGTGGCTTTCATGCAGGCCCTTGGTCAGCTAGTCCTATATGTGGTAAGGAAGGGAGAGCTCCCTTTTGAGACACTGAAGACTGAAAGTAATGAAGAGGTGATTCAACTTTCTCCAGATGAGGAAACTCGGGACCTCATTCATCAACTGTTTAACCCTGGAGACAATGTGCAGGGGCACCTGAGTGGCCTGCTGGGTCATCCCTTCTTTTGGAGTTGGGAGAAGTAAGTAAAAGTTGATGGCATATTCCAGGCCTCCAGAAGGGAGACAATGAGTGTATTAGTCATGAGATATATATATGTTCAAATGATATATAGATAGACAGATATATAGATATCCAAATGATAAATATAAATATAGATTTACTTATTAAAAATATTTTATTTATTTATTTAGAGAATCTTAAGTAGATACTGCTGTGCTGAGCACAGAACCTGATGGGGGCTCTATTTCAGGACGTTGAGATCATGACCTGAACCGAAATCAAGAGTGAGGCACTCACGCCTGAGCCACTCAGGCGTCCCTATATATTTATTTTTTTAGAAAGAAATGCAGTATTAAGGCTGAGAATTCTCACGATCTGCCTCTGCAAGCTGGAGGCCCAGGAAAGCCCATAGTGTAATTTAGTCCAAATGCAAAGGCCAGAGAGCCAGGGGCACTGATGATGTGGGTTCCAGTAAGGGTCTGAAGGCCTGAGAGCCAGGAGCGCTGAGGGCAAGAGAAGATTGATGGCCCATCTGAAAAAAATCAGACAAGAAGGGGTGAATTCCATCTTTTATTCTATTTCTTTTTTAATATTTATTTCAATAAAATTTATTTTTTTACCTTTCTTTTTTTTAAATTTTATTTTATTATGTTATGTTAGTCACCATACAGTACATCATTAGTTTTTGATGTGGTGATCCACGATCCATTGTTTTCATATAACACCCAGTGTTCCATGCAGTACGTGCCCTCCTTAATACCCATCACTGGGCTGACCC